CTTATATGTGGTTTAGTATATTTCTACTGGGCTGTGGCTCACCCTTTATGGGAACATCATTTTCAGGTTCAGGTGATAAGCTACCTCCAAGGGCTTAGCTTGGAAGGAATTGGAGTTGAAGACTCTATTTAGTTTAGTTGTCTTTTTATTTTATTTGTTATTACATGTAAACACTCAAGCCAAGGGCTTAACTTGTAGTTGAGTTAGTACTCATATTTTGTGTCCAAGTGTTGGCTTGGAAAGATGTAAGCCCGTAGGGCATTTACTTTGATGTTACATGTAATGCTTTTCAATAAGATTACTCTGATGAATGGCATAATAGTTGGTTTTCTTTTGTTAATACATGTCAATGTTATATATATTATGGGTTTATTTTGAGGGCGTTACATAGTTTATTCAAAACTTCCAAAAGAATAAGTTAATACATAACCAATTCCACCATTTATGTCAACTCTCTCTCAATTTCACATTTCCAATGTCAATTCCAATTTTTTGTATAAAAATAGTTTGACCCAATTAGGGCAATTTCTCTCTTTTCCCAAATATTAGCCAAGTACCAAAATCATCAAATTAGGCATAGCACAACATCATTTTCAAAACCCACAAACATTAATTTCATTTATACCCAAAACCCCTCTTTGAAACTCTATACTCAAAACCCAAGGTTTGTTTTAAAACATCCCTAAATCACACCATTGTTACACAAAAGACAATATCTAAGCTAAATATCATATGAAAATGTAGAAAGAATCCCTACTTCAAAGAAGGAGACGAACCCAACAAGAGAGCAATTTCAAGAATGCCGAAATCCACTTCTATTTGGATCAAAATGTAAATCTTGACAAGCTCTACTTTTTTTCCCAAAGGCACTAGGGTGAAAAGGATGATGGATCTAGATAAAATCTAAGAAAGAATGTGAAATGTAGAGAGAGAAACTCAAGAATAAGTTCCTTGGAGAGTTTTAGAGAGAGAGAGAGAGAGAGAGAGATAAGAAAAGTGACTCAAAACCTCATCTCCTCGGACTGATATTCACGTAGTTTGCTCGAGTGTGAGAATTCTCGCTCGAGCGTTAGACACAGACTCCTGCTAGAGCGTAAAACTGAACGCTCCAGCGTCGAATGCACTCTCCCAACATCTGTAGACCTGCAAAAATGCTGAGAGTTGTAGAATCCCGCTCGAGCGGAGGAACAAAATTTGTGAAGCCCGCTCGAGCGCAAGAATGCCTGCTCAAGCAGAGAGGCCAAAATCTGGGCAACACAGGTTTTGAAAAGGGAGCAACTAACTTGTTTCAAATGCAAACAAGATAACCAAAAATAGAGGGAAGACAAGGGAAACAAGATATGAATAACCTTTCAACCCATACAACCCGAGTCCGGAATACAACAAGAGATGGGTTAAGAACTGGAATCGCTATAGATATCCCAAACAATCATATTTTTTTCGTCTATTTTTTTAGCCAAAAAGTCAAAAAGTGTACTTATATAGTTCATCACAAACAACCCTTTAATTAATCAAGGAGGTGGTTGCTATATTCTCTCCCCCTTAGGATGTTTGGTCCTCCAACTTAGTTACCTTCTGCCAGCCCTTATTATTGTATTACTGTTAAGTAGGCCTCTGGTAATCTCGAATTACTGGCCGATCACTTCTCTAATCCCTTGGGGCGGGGGTTAGGTCGTGACACGACCAGTCAGTGTATTTTTTTCACAAATTTTTGTCTTAAGGTAGTCATCCGGGGGACATCTGGATGGACATTTGAGGAGACATTTGGTGGTAAAAATCAAACAGTTATGAACAGTGATTTGATGAAAGGCACATTGGTCCTCAGTTTGATGAAAGAAAAGTAAAATCTTGAATTTGATACCGATTTGATGAAACCGTTGGAGTTGAAAAAAGAGTCATTTTTTATCAAATTCAAATTTGATGATAAGTTTGATATATCGTTGGAGATGGTTTTAAGGGTTTAAACGAGAATTTACCATTTTAGCTGATTTTTTTTTGAAAATATATATAAGAAAGTAAAAAGAGTAATGTGATAGTTTGTAGTGATTTTTGACTTTTTAATTATAAAAAATACTAGGGACCTACCTTTACGAACGTCAAATTTATCCCAAATGTGTTTGTGTGATAGAGATTGAATTGATGAAGTGTAGGATCTACACATGAAATGAATCTGAGCCATTGATTTTTTATTTTTTTTTCTAGGCAAATTCTCAATTAATAAGAGTGGAGTTGTAATATTATTGTTTAATTTTTTTCTTCACTTGCAAAGTGAGGCAAAATATGCACTTAGTTTTTCATTTTTTATTTACATCATATTTTTATTTATTTTTTATTTTTTTATGGGTAATGACATGAGAAATATAAAATATCAAAATATTTGTAAGGGTAAATTACACTTTGCCCCTTTTATGCTTTGTCACTTTTCCACTTTGGATCTTGAAATTTATTTTTTTTCACTCTGGCCCTTTATAGTTTAAGTTTTCTCCATTTACTCTGAAAACTAGCTTCTATTCAAAATTAGACAAAAAATGTCATAATAACTGTCACATAATATAAAAAATATATTATTATATTGAGGATTAAATTTGTGTAAGAGATTTGAGTTATATAAAATAAAATATTTTCATACCACGTGAATGTTAATGTGTCATGTTCTGTCTAATTTTTAACAGAAATTAGCTTCAGGAGTAAACTGGAAAAAACTTGAAACATAAAGGACCAAAATGGAAAAAAAAACAAACCTTAAGGGCCAAAGTGGGAAAGTAGCTAAACATGAAGGGGGCAAAGTGTAATTTACCCTATTTCTAATCTCAATACACTTTTTATATATTTCAAAATATTTGTATACATTTCAATACATTTTTTTTTTTATGAAAAATTATTTTTTACTATTAAGGCAAATCTATATAGTGCTCCAACTTTTGTATTCATTGGTTAAAAACAGTAATACTCAATACTTTTATTGAATTTTTGGAGATAAATATCATGGAGCAAAATTCTATGACCACTAAATATTCACTCCACTTTCTAGGTACTTTTTTAACACTAACATTTCCTATTTTTTTATTATAGTGAAAAAAATAAATATCACTTTAAGCTTGTGAGGGCCCATATTCAATGTATTTTTCCTCATTGATAGGAGACAAATATGTAAATTATTCCCATTATAGCGAATTAAACACTATTTATGCATGAATAATTTATTTGACAACTTTGATATAACGTGGTGTTTCTAGTTAATGACAGTCGATCTAAAAAAAAATGGCATAACAAAAAAATCTACTTTTGTTAGTGTTGACATTATGAATCTATAATTTTTATTATTATTTATTATTGTTAAATTATAGGATATGTGCTACTTTCCTATTCATTTGGAGATTATGAGAAATTATAAAGTATTAAACACATGTGAGGTGATGGAGAATGTGGAGGATTATGGAGTCTAAAGTGGAGGAAATGGAAGAACACGGAACATGTGAACATGGACTAAAGTGAAAAAGTTAGAGAGACACGTGGCAAAACAAGATGAGGATATGATAATAAAGTAGTTATTAGGTAGTTTTTTCTTGCAAGTTTTTTTTGTCTATGAATAGCCATTCATGACTACATTGTAATCATCCAACTCAAATTAAAGACAATTGATTTTTATTTTTCTTATTATTTATATTTTCTACACTTTATTTAGGCCTCGTTTGGTAACTCATTGTTTTAACCTAAAAGTCAAAAGTTACTAAAAAAATTAAAAAGCTAACAACCTATACCAAAAAGTCAACGACTCTCATTTTTCTCTGCTTTTTGCACATCTTTTCGTAAAAAAATTAAACAAATATTCCAAATATACTAATTTTTTTACCTCATATTTTAATGAAAAAATCAAAAAGTTATTAAAATGGCATGTTCCCAAACGAGGACTTAATAATTCGGATTGTTTAGTAAATCATCTATCTTTGTCTCCCTCTCTTCTTTTTTTAGTTTTTCTTTTTTCTACACTTGACAATTTTGAAGTTCTCTTCATTGAGGCAAAAGAACCATCAACGTAATCACTTGATAATTGGTTTGAATTTAATCGGTAAAGATTTTTTAATCTTTATTGACACCCTAACATTTATGAAATTTTTTTTCGTAGGAAAAATAAGCAACACTTAAATAATGCGAGACAATAGATGATATATTTTATATATTTTGCAATTATACATTTATCAAGAGCACAACATATAACTGTTTAATAAATTTTCATTTCTACACAGACTTGAACTTGTCGCTTCTATTTTTTTTTTTCCCCAAAAAAAGATTTAAAAAAACTACTATTCAAATAATTTTTTTTGTGAAAATGGATAATAAAAAAAAACCCCAACAAAATAGGTCAACCAGCCCCTTTTTTTGGGGGTACAGTTCATGAGCCCTTTGGAATCGTATGAGCACTCATTATTGTTTTGGTTTCAATTTTTTAAATTTAATTTTTTGAAAATTAAAATTTTTATTTTTCGTATTTTTTTTATTTTTAGTGAATATTTTTAAAATTTTAAATAATTTTTTTTATTTTTTTAAATGTACTTTACTTAGATGTATTTACAAAGTAAAATATTTGTAAAAAAATATTTTAAAAAATTAATAAATAAACAAAAATACGGAAAATGTACTGATTTATTTTTTATTTTTTTATTATGTTTAGTGAATTTTTAAAAGATTTTTTTCACAAATATTATGCTTTTAGAGTATATTTATGTTAGGTGTATTTAAAAATTAAAAAAAAAGCTTAAAATATTAAAAAAATTCAGTGAAAAAAAAATACAAAAAACAAAAAAAATAAAATTTTCTAAAAAGTGAATTTTGAAAATCAAAACCAAACAGAGTGAATATTTTTGAACCAACATAGATGCTCAAAAATAAAAATCGAAAAAAGGAATAGCCTTATAATTATGAAATGCGCTCATTCATGTGGATCTCAACACAAAAACATAACATAAATGACAATCTAAACTCCAATTTATGTGACTTAATCCGTTATGTAATTGAAAATTTGGCAACAACATCTCACCACTTGAAAACATTTGTTTGATCAAATAAACATTGTTATCAGTTTTGACAAATGAATTTTCCACTCTCATGAAAGTAAACATCCAAAGTTTTGAATGAATTAATCCAAATTAAATTTCTTTAACCTCTCTAACAGATGACAGTTTCTAGATAGGTTGGAGCTCCAAGTTAGTATGTCCAGTGCCATTTTCGGAGGAAGATGGAGACTCCTTGGTCTGATTGGCGGCATTCATCTCTTGTACTGGCGGAGGGTTCACAATAGTTTCTATAGCAGCAGTATTATCAGTTAGATGCCCCTTCATCTCTCGGTGCTCTTGACACACAGCACACCAATGTAAACAACAGTGCACCATGCATGGGTCACATGGAGAGTCCTGCAAAGCAGAAACACCAACAGAAGTCAGCACAATGAGTTGAAACTTTGTTGAGGAGCATGGCACGATCAAAGATCTTCCAGGTGCCAAAACAATTACTTGTGCGTCGTGCGATAGCCCATAAACTCAAGTCTCTGAACAATTTTCTTGAGTATATATGTTTGGGAGCATTTGTTGAAAAAATATAAGGTAATTGTTTGTTTGAAGAGATGCACAATCCAGATGTTACAATAATATATAGAGAAAGAGAGAGAGAATAAAATGTGTATATGAATGTTATATTGATATATTCGGTATATTGATGTTGTATTGAATGTTCACTTAAGCTCACTCCTTTTTAGAGGAGAGGCAGAACAAAAGGAACCTTACAAACCGAAAGAATCGAAAGCAGAAGCACAAACCAAACAACATTATTAAAGGTACATTATTAAAGGTTTGACAGCCAATATATATACTTACTAATAGCCTTCTTCAAACTCAAGGAGGATAGGCACAAATCAACTTGAGTTTGGAAAGAGTAACAAAACAGGAAAATAAACTAATACATAAAATAAAATAGGATAAGAGACATTGTATGGTTGTCTCAGACCATTGGTGAAGACACTATATGGTCGTGTCAGACCGTTGTAGCAGCTAACCGGAATCAATGTCGGGACAATTTACGAGCTCATGCCGGACGAATGTAGAAGTTAACCAGAATCAATATTGAGACAGTTTACGGGGTCATGTCGGACCGATGTAGAGGACACTGTGTGGTCGTATCAGACCGTGGTAGAAACTTTGGTGGTGCACCAAGGGGGCGACTTAAGGAGTGCGCCATGGGGTGGCTTGGGTGGTTCGCATGGTGGCTTGGGTGGTTCGCATGGTGTGTAACCATGCTCACCATGATATATGTAGAATGCCCCCCTCAAACTCAAATAGGTTTGAAGATAGAAACCTATTGGAGGTTGAAACAAAAGGATTGATAAAGTGGAGCGAAACGACTCAACACAGAGTAGAGATGTTAAATAAAATGGTAGAAATGTTGTTTTTTTTTTTTGGTGGAATAAAAAAAATAATAATAAGATAATGGAAAAAGGGATGATGCTCACCAACTGAGATGGATAATAATGAAATATTGATGGAAAAAAAAGATAGAAAAAATAAAATAAAATAAAAGGAAGGTTGCGGGAATAGGAATCTGGAAAAGTTCACCAACGGAGTGTTAAAATAAGGAAATCTCGAGAGAGAAAAAGGATGATTGATTTTTTTTTAATGAAAAAAGGAAGATAAAATAAAATAAATAAAGTTGGGGGTAGTGGGATCAGACTGCGGGTTCCTGAAGCCGTGGGTTGAAACTAATAATGATGTGAGGGTGAAAAAGGTTGATAAAAGGGGTCAAAGAGCACATGGATTATGGATTCTGAGTTTGTGCATAACAATAATAATAATAAAATGAATGAGTGGAGAGAGGCTTTTATGTTTAAATAAAAGAAGAGTGGGTGGATAATATTAAAATAAAAAGAAACGAAAAGAGGGGGACAAAAGTTGGTGTCTGGGTGTGATTTGAGAGAAGATGCTGCCTGTTACCTTTGAGAGAGAGAGCTTCGTTGATATTACCGTAGACCAGAGATGAGAGACATGTTCAGAATGTGAATAAGGTTGAAACTGCTGTCCGAATTACCCATATCCTCTTCGCTGCACAGAAGAGAGATCCCAACTAGCGAACAAGATCAAGGCTCTAAGCCGGTTGAAAGCAAAACTGTTGGTGATAGCAGAGAGAGGTCTGGGTTTGGACGGCCAAGGTGAGTATCTGAGTAATACGTCCCATCAGATCTGGATGGAATGCTCCATTATGATGTTCTTTGATAATGTTCAGAGTGCTCACACCTCACAATGGCTGAAGAGAAGCACCACCACCAGCTATGGTGTGGCGTTGAAGAAGTGACCACATATGGTGAGACCACCAACGCCTATGGAAGCGGTGGTGGAGGGAGTAAGTATAGTGAGAGTACTGGTGTTTATGGAACTACATCACCTCGTTTTTCTGAGGAAACCCTTGATTATGAGAAAAAGATTAAGCAACACAAGCACCGTGAGCAGCGTGGTGAGCTTGGTGCTGTTGCTGCTGGCACGTTTACCTTGTATAAGAAGCATCAGTCAAAGAAAAACCCAGAGCATGCCCACAAGCATAAGATAGAGGAAAAGATAGCAGCTGAGGTTGCAGTTGGATTGGTGGGTATGCATTCCGTGAGCATTATGAGAAGAAAAATGCCAAAGAAGAAGAGTTTCTGGTATGTGTTGAAAACTCCAGCGGGCAGCGAAGGCAAGGTTGCCGGCAGGCTGCCCGCCGGAGAGAAAAAATATAGGTCTAAATCTTATGGCTCTGATACCATGTTACAATAATATATAGAGAAAGAGAGAGAGAATAAAATATGTATATGAATGTTATATTGATATATTCGGTATATTGATGTTGTATTGAATGTTCAGTTGAGCTCACTCCTTTTTAGAGGAGAGGGAGAACAAAAGGAACCTTACAAACCGAAAGAATCGAAAGCAGAAGCACAAACCAAACAACATTATTAAAGGTACATTATTAAAGGTTTGACAGCTAATATATATACTTACTAATACCAGAAAAGCGCAAGACTAGACAAATAGATGCAACAACCATTATACTTATTCTAGTCTAGTCGAGGCATCTGAAATAATTGATGGAGTTTAGTGATGAAAAAACGAAATAAAAAAATGTGAGCACGGGGATAAATAGTATGAACTTTTATTCACGCACTGGATCTCTAGATGTAGGTCCATTAAATTCAAGATCTATTATTTTTCAAATAAATAAAAATATGACATATATTATTTCTGATAAGCTTATCTAGAGCAACATGATTCAAGATTCAACAATTGTCAGGTTCGTTTCAAGGATCCTTCCCCCTCCCCCCTATGCCAAGTATTCTTTCCTTCCCCAATGAATTTTGTTTTTTGGGTATAAATTTGAACATATGTAAGCAACAAGTGATCAATGCATGAACATTTTTTAGCAACAAGTGATCAATCATATATAATGGACTGAAGCAAGGAAAATTCATTTTCAATATGCCATTATTTTACGAGTAATAAGCCTTTAATAATGCAATTGAGATCACCTTTAGATGATACTTTTTTTGCAATGATTGCCGAGCCATGCTGGTATAGATTCCACACATCCACCAAGCAAAGAACAGACCCTCATAAATGAGAAATAATGTCTGTGGATCAATGCCATTAAGAACTGATGTCAATGCAGCAAATGTCATACCACCTTCCACACATATGATATGACCAACACAGGCAGCCCTCTGAGAGATATCAGCATTCAAGTTTTCAACGTTACGTCCAAATAAGACACATGGGCAGAATAGTCCAGTCAAGCCTATAAGATGAACAAATGATTCAAAAATAAACAAGGATCTCAGTAATGCAAAACACAAAATACATTCAGACATCCTCATCCAAAGAAGAAGCAATTATTCTGTGTAAATTTAAATGTATATATAATGCATTTTATTTTTCATATTAACTGAGCATCAAATTCTAGAAAAAATTGTACCGTTAATTTCGTATGCCAGTCCGTGACACTATTGCTATTATGCCATGTAGATCACTTTTATTTGCTTCTATCTTGTATAATTATTCTAAACATGTACAATCCTAGTTAGACATGAGCTCTATTTAACAAAGGATGCGGAAATTAAACCAACTAGGCCTATCCTAATTGGTCATCATGCCTTCTTTAAGGCTTAGTCGTTGTATTGATTGGGGGATTTGAAGATGGATTTAGAAAGAGAAATGAAAAATGTAGGTGAAATGTGAATAAAGCATACCTATATTTCACCTAGTTTCACACACCTTTTTCATTTCCCTTTCCAAATCCCTCTTCAAATCCTCCAACCAAACACAGCATAAAGAGGTCATGGGTTCAATTCCCCTTAGGAAAGTTGAATTAAAGGAGTGCAAGCACTTAGGTGCTTTGTCAAGGATGGGGATATTTTCTCCCATATGTGCTAATTTATTAACTAACAACTAACATTTGCTGATAAAAAAAAAATCCCGAAATTAGATTTTTAATTAAAGAAAAATGGGTGAACTTCCCCTCCCCCGCTCTATACACGACTTGACAACATAATGTGAAAACTTGAATGCTACTAGCTAAAAAGTTGAAGTAGATTGAACACTTACAACTGTCGGTATCTTCAGTACACCCAAAAATTCCAGTTGACCAATCTTCATCAGCCGGGGGTTGATAGGTTGGAGGAAGTGTTTGTCCACATTCTTGACATCTACGAGCAGTCAACTATTGAACATAACAATCAACAATGAATACAAACAAATGCAAAATATTATATTTATATTCTAAGTAATAAAAAAATAATAAATAAATAAACACATTGTAATTTGATAACTAATGACTCAATGACAAATATATCCACTCTTTGCACGATTAGTGGAAGTGGAAAAGGTCAAAAAGACTAAATTCAGATCTCCAGTAATATCAGTAACACCTCTACAAAGTTGATGAAGACATTTTAGTTAATAACTACCATCATCAGGTCAATCTCTAAACATGTATGAAGCCATACAATTCACATGCATCTACAATGCAAATTTAATGGAAAGTAAAGCAATCACCTAAAATCACCTACTTATAATATCAATTCTCGTAGCCACAAAATCATGGTCATCATTTCTACCTTTCACCTTGCAGAAAAATGGTTATGACATTACATCAATTATGAATCCTTATTCAATTGCATAAAACAACTTCTTATCAATCCATGCTACCAAATGAAAAAAAGCCATCAAACAGACATAGTGACCAACATACATGCATGCAAATATATTAAAACATACATACTTATCTCCTTAGGGTCTAGTAACGAAATTGAGATTTGAAAAAGCAATTTTCTAAAATCACTTGCCTCATAAAAACTCATGCCATCATCAAGTCCATCATCATCAATCATCATATATATATATATATAAGGATACATAAACATTATATGAAGTGAACAAGTCAGTTATATTGGTTCGGCGATGAAGAAAAGAGGAAATAAAAACTGATGAAAACAGAAACATTGGAGAATTTTGGACACTCATGAAAACAAAGAGAAGATTAAAAGAGTAGACGGGCAAACCTGAGCAACATCAATGGGTTGATAGAGCTCTCCTGGCGTGATACTCTGCAATGACGCTTGGTCCGGGGTTAGCTTCACGTAAGTCCCTTCGGCCATATCTGATCAAACTCTCAGATGTCATCAAAATAACCAAAACAAATATATGTGTGTATATATATGTGTAGAGATACAGAACCATACAAGTAGAGAGAGAGAGAGCGCTAAAGTGGGGGAAGCATTGTCCAAAAATGGAGGAGGAGGGTTGGAATGGAATGGAAGAAAGAGCGATTGAATTTGGAGGGTTCTCTCTCTCTCTCTCTGGCTCTCTGAAAGCGAGAGAGAGAAAAAAGATATTCTGAGGTGTCATCAGCATCGACCATCATTTTATTTACTCAAAAATTGCCAAAATATCCTCGAGTAATCTTTAGGGATGTAACTTGGACGGGCTCAACCCGAGCAACCCGAACCCAGCTTGATTTTTTTTAGAGCTTGGATAAGATATTTTCAAATTCAATATGGGCTTGGGGTAAAAATTCAAAAGCCTGAATTAAATTTGGATGGACTTGGACAAAGATATCAAACAACTCGAGCAACCCGAAACTTGAATTATACATATATAGATATATAAAAATATTAAATATATATATAAATTATTAACCATTACATAATATTAAAATAATTTTGATTAGTAATATTGAATAAATATTACATTTACAAATAACATAAAATCTTACTCTTTTTTATTTTATTTTATATATATTCACTCATAAATTGTAAAGATTACTGTAGTGACATCTCTCTTACATTATATAAATTATTTGTTTTGATGGTATTAATGATTTTCTGTATAAAAAAAATTGTAAATAGATTCAAATTTTAATAATTTAATAATGTAGCTTTAAAAAAAATTGAAATTCATTTACAATGATGACAATTCGGGTTTAACTCGGATCGGGCTTGGACAGGCAACGTTGGGTTACAATTCGGGCTTGGGCGGGCCTGGACAGATCTCAACACAACTTGGATTAGGCTTGGACAATTTTACAACCTGACTGAACCCGTCCGAATTGTACCCCTAATAATCTTGGTTAATTTTCACACCTCATTGTGCTATTTTGCTTGAATCCGTTTTTCTGAAAATTGTGCGTTTTTATTTATTTATTTATTTTAATATTTTAAATATTTGTTTTAATTTTTAAATATATTTAATATAAATATATTGAAAAAAAGTAAAATATTTATAATTTTTTTTAAAAATTCATTAAATACCAAGAATATAAAAAAATATATAAAAAATCGCTATATTTTCATATTTTTGTGTATTTATTAAAATTTTTAAATATTTTTTTACAAATATTTTATTTTTTAGATATATTTTGGTGAGGTGCATCTAAATAGTAAAAAAATTGTTTAAAATATTTAAAAAATTGCTTAAAATAAAAAAATAGTAAAAACAATAACTCAATTTAAAAAAAAAATTGAGTTCAAAAATTGAAACCAAACAATTGTTTTCAAATTTTATTTTTGTTTTTTCCCCCCTCATATGATTCACTTGCTAAATTTGTTTTTAAATTTTTTTGACATGATAAGGTAGTGTTTGGTTTAATTTTTAAATCAATGTTTGGATTGAAAAATCAAAAAATATGTTTGGTTTACTATTTTTTAAAATTATTTTTTCTTGCTCCTCTGTCATTCTCTCTATTTTTTTTACATATCAATCAATTATTTTTTCTCTCTTCTCTCTCATTGGCTCACATTCTACGCATTAATTAATTATTTTTTCTCTCACATCCATCTATTTAACTAAAAGAAAAAAAAACTTACAAATCATTCTAAAATTATTTTCAAAACTCATAATAAAATAAGTTTTTAATTTTCAAAGCTCTTTTCAAATACAACTCAAAACTCTTTTTAGAAACTAAACCATACGGAGCCTAAATGTTTTCAAAATTTTCATTATTTTATTTTTAGAAAAAAGAAAGAAGAAAAAAAAAGCCCAAAAATGTAAGCTAACTTTGAATACCACCTTGCTTGTTTTCACTTTTCAAAAAACACTTTTCAAAAAATTCTACTTTCTTATTTTTCGTATTTTTTTGTTTTTACTAAATTTTTTTTTAATATTTTAAGCAATTTTTTTTACTTTTTAGACACACCTAACATAAATACCCTTAAAAAGTAAAAAAATTGTAAAAAAAACTTTTAAAAATTCACTAAATATCAAAAATACAAAAAAAATACAAGAATTCAGTACATTTTTTTTATATTTTTATGTATTTATTAATTTTTTAAAATATTTTTTCACAAATTTTTTACTTTTTAGATACATATAAGTAAGGTGCATCTAAAAAAGTAAAAAAATGTTTAAAATTTAAAAAATATTCACTAAAAATAAAAAAATACGAAAACCAAAAAAATCAATTTTCAAAAAACTTAATACAAAAAATTCAAACCAAACACACTATTGTTTGTATCACTGACCATGTTTGTTGCAGTTAAATTTTTTATTTTTTTTATTATAACTTATTTTAATTTGAGATTTTGTGTTAGATTGTTTGGTATACTTTCTAATTATAATTTAACAAGCAAAAATAATTTAAATAAATTAGAAAAAATTGATTATTTAAAAGTTAAAAGAGAAGTGTTTTGATTTCTACTTTTTGATTATTAATTTTTAATTTACAATAAATTACACAAAATAAGTCAATTAATGCATACATTTTCTTGTGTAATATATCATATATTGAAAATTTATAAATTCACGTGGATGACAAATGAGTCAAATAGAGTCAAGTTTTATGATACTTGAGCTCAACTGAACAAATAATTCGGTTTGAACTCGAGTTCAAATTCTCTACCCAACCTGTTAATAATAGCTAAACTTCAGCTGGAAGATAATGAAGAACAAATTTGGTTTGATAATAAGGCTTCGCTTGGGAATCCTCTTTTTTAGTCAAAAAGTTATTAAATTAGTCAAAAAAATTAATAACTCATATCAAAAAGTCAAAAATTCTCTTTTCTCTCTATTTTTTGCACATCTTTTCGTAAAAAGTTAAAAAATCATCCAAAACATATTAGTTTTTTTTAGCTCATATTTTAGCTAAATAACCAAAAAATTACTAAATTAGTTTGTTCCCAAACGAAGCCTAAAACTAATCAACCTATTAAACATTATTATTTTGATTTTTTTTTATATAAAAAAAATCTAAGACTTAGTTTGATAAATTGATTAAAAATTAAATTTTTAATTTTTTAACTTTTTAAAATCATATTGCCTTTTTAATTTTTCACATATTTAAAAAATAAAATAAAAAAATCAACTTTAACCAACATCTCAAAATACTTTAAATTATGAAATTTTTTTTTTTATTCATTTAAATTATGAAACTCAACTATTCATATGAGTGCCTCTTGTCTGTCACACGCCACGCTATGATAGTATAATTGATTATTTTTAACACTACGTGTCCTTATCTCAAATACTAATATCTACTCTTATGAATTATTATTATTGTTATTATTTTTCAAATTCCAAAAAGATTTGCAAAAAATCTTCCATTTCTATCCATATATGTATGCATAAATCTTTAGGAGAGAGCAGAAGTTTATCATTAAATTAAAGAGGAAGAAGCATGGGAGGAGGAGCCATGGCAACACCACCAGTTGGGGCGATGATTGGTGGCGGAGGAGTGCCCTCCGACCACCGCACCATCCAAAGACCAACCACCACTAACCTCCACTCTCACCTCCCTTCTTCTTCTTCTTCTTCTTCACATCTCAATCAGCCACTCTCATCATCTACAAGATTTGAGCCTATGGATGGAAGAGATGATCATAAAACCACGATTCGCACTCACTCTTCTCACTATGGCTCTGTTTTCGGGTCTGTCCCTTCTCGGACTGAAGTCCAGAAAGCCATATCTGATCTTCAAAGGTAATTTTTTTTTTTTTTTTTTTTTTTTTTCCTTTTTTTTTTTTTTTTTTTTTTGTTTACCATAATTTTGTTTGTTTTCTCACCTTCTGATTTTTTTGTTTTTCATCCTTCAGAAAGTCTAAACCCCAAAATTCTAAATTAGCTCAATTAGGATGCATGTATCTAATCTTGATAGTAGAGAGCAAAAATAAAGCATATGATGTGATAGTTTTTCTCACCCACTTGACTGGCTACACTGATTTAATTACGAAATTTGGATGATTTAAATAAAATGAAATTAGAAAATTGCGAGAAAAATTTAAATTTGAGCAAAGTTAAAAAGAGACTAATTGATGGGTTGGGCTTCATTAAAATAATAAGCAAATCATTGCATCATCCTTGACCTCCTGGTTAGTTGGGCTTGAAGCATATCTCAGTTCTATTTCTTCGTGAATTAAACTCTGTTTTAGTACATATAATGTGTTTCAGTGTTACATTTTTTTCTTAATGGTTCACACATATCCAATTTTTGGACAAATAAATGATTTTCTGTTTTCAAAATTCTATCCCATTGTCTTGGGCTGGGTTTGGTGGAGGGATTTGGGGAGGGATTTGGAAAGGGAAAGAAAAAAGAAAAAAAGAAAAGACAGGTGAAATGTGAATTTTTATCCCTACATTTTACCTAGTTTCACCTACCTTTTCCATTTCCCTTTCCATTTCCAAATCCTTGAACCAAACACAAACACAGCCTCAATATATTTCTCAACGGCAAAATAAATATATCAAAATTCTTATGTTTTTGGATCCGCGTAACATCCTATGAGATCGTGCGTATTCAGGATAGAAGAAAAAGAATTTTTGGGCATAGAATAGAAGATCCTCAACCCAACTTTTGTAGAATATTGGCTCAAATTCTCCATGTGGATGGAAGCTGACAGGAGAAGGTGAGCTGCAGATTTCAGCCAAGCTACTCTGTTGGTAGGGTAGCTGCTATAACTTTTGTTGGTGGCTGCCATCATTGTTGTTGGTAGCTTGTCAATAGGCTTGTTGCTGACTTTGGCTCTCCCATTTGTGTATAAACAGGGACATTGGAATGTAAGAGCGAACAACAAAGAGCGAGCAAGTAGCAAAGAGATGTAGAATTTAGAGAGAGAGAGAGAGAGAATGAGAGATGTGAGGCTGAGAGTTGAGTTGAGTTGAGTTGAGATGGAGTGTTGCCTCCTCCTCCTCCTCCTCTAGATCACAACCTCCTCCATTGTTTGTGTTGTTTTGTAGTCTTTGAAATATAGTGTATCTTACTGCTCAATGGATGTAAGTGCATTGCCGAACCATGTAAATCTTGTGCATGTTTGATGGTGTTCATTTCTGGTCCATGGGCACAACAAATTTTCTATACCATTCCTTGTCAATTTGTCATACTAAAAGAGTACATGACGGGTCGGGATTTTTTGGGTTTCGTGCACAAATTCTTGATTTTAAACTTAACCATTTTAGTGATATAACTTCATACTTTACTCTAACGCTAAGGTCATGTTTGATTAGGGGTTTGGGAGGGAGGATTGGATTACCAATCCGTGGAGCTCACTTCACCCATGTTTGTATGCAACAAAATGTCATGGGATTAGCAATCCCATGAGAGTATGAATCTCCTCCCATGGTGGGATTAGCATTCCCATGGAAGGGTTGGGATTGCTAATCCCTTCACACATATTGATGGTTAAAATACCACTTTGCCCTCTACTTTACAAAACCAACAAAGTTATATTTTATGTGAGAAGGGTTTTAAGTAATTTTGTAGATTTAATCTTAACTAACTAATACCTACCACGTTAGTACATAAACACACTTTATCTTACATGTCTAATCTAATACCACTACACTAATAATCTTCTCATTCAATTCCACTGTATTTATAATCCCATTCAACCTAATTTGCCAAACAAACAAGGCCTAACAGTTTTGACCTACCTACTTACCCTACTCAATCAATGTTCTTCCAGACATTTTTTATAATTAAAATTGAGTTGATACAAATACAATCAGGTTGGATAATTTTGTCATCCCTTATGCATTGCTGACCATAATGTCAATGCCATCCTTAATTTATACACAGGTTCATGCATGGGTTTTGTTCACCTGAATATGAGTGGCTTCACCAGATATTGCACCTTTACGATCCAAGAATGTTGAAATCTCTCGGTTATTATGGAAGAGTTGATGATGCTTTTCGCTTGCTTCAATCAGAGCCCTCTGTTCAGGTGACCCCTTTTACTCTCTTTAACACTCTGAATCATGAGGTCAGAAAAGAAGAGAGAAGAAAAATAGGCAATGCACGAATACACTTGGATGATTTGGTGATTATGAGACTTAGATCATCAATTATCCCAAATGCTTGAGCCCTTAAAAAGTAGGCAAACAATGAGTACTGGGGTGTTTTGTACTTTCTCACAAACTGCCATTTAATTCTTGTGTATAATAACCATGCCATATATACAATGTATTCTCACAGTGTCTTGATCTGAGGAGTTCATTTGTGTGTTTTTGCATGTAGAGAATGGTGACTTCTATATCATCTGACAAAGCAGTGTGGGATGCTATATTGAACAACGAGGCAGTTCAGAATCTCCAGGAGTCACTCTACACAGGTTTACGTTGTTTATAATGACTGTTAATGCACGTACATTTATATCTCCAATTGACTCACATAGGTGAGCCGATACCAAATGATGCGAATCCTTGGGTGGAACTCACCCTTCAAAATTGGCTTGCAAGGAGAGTGCCCAAGAGGTTTATATGCACATGGCCAAGGCCTTTGTTAACTAACGTGAGATTAACAATGTCGTGACATATACATAGCACAGTAGGCTGAGATTACAAGTTTGTTGTCACATGGATTGTTAGTTATTCTTGTTCTCTAGGGGTAATGACATATTGTAATTGAATAAGAAAAGAACTACTGGAATAAGACGAGCTTCTCGAATCTAAAATCTTTTTATTCCAGCTGTAAAGTACTGCTACAATGACTGAACGGTATTCTTGATTCCACAACACAAGCTTTCTTCACACAGTCAAATTAGTTGAGACTTAGCAAGAAGGGATATATGACTTATTTCCTATTTTGGCAACTAGGAAAAAAGTCAGCTTATTAGCTTGTTTGGGTTACATTACTTCTCTACTTTTTTGCACTTTTTTTCTTACTTCCCAAAATAGGCGGACCTCTTTCATTTCCTTTCATTTGCTCAAATCTTGCACTGTAACATTCTCTTACCTCCTTATATATTGATTAATGCAGCTAAAGAGGAAAGGCCTCAGAGCTCTAGTGTAGAATCAGACTTGGCTACACTGCTAGTAAACTGGATTTTGGACATAACGAAGGCAATAGTTCTGGAAATCATTGAGAAGTTCAGCTCACTTGTGAACAAGATATTTCAACTTCCCGAGAAAAAAGAAATCAATGCAGAAATCACAGATCAATTGGATGACAAACTCATATCCTCATTGCTTCTCTCCATTCTGATCCTTCTGATCGTGGTCGTAACTCGTGCCCACGGGGCTTAGTTCATAGTTTCAGAGTGCATTCTCCATTGAATCATAAGACAGGTGACAGTTACTGTATATTCAGTAGCAAGGCTTGATAACAAAGATCACAACATACAATTTAGTAATAATGCCAATATATTGAGATGCAATTCCAGTAATTGTATTACTGTGTTACTTACTATTCTGATAGTTCAAATGGTTAATTTATTCCATAAGCCAGTGGAACAAATCCCTCCAAGCACAAGCACCAGACCTTCAGAGCCTTTTGGGACCAGGTTTTGACATAGTTTGTGAGCCTGTCTATTGCACTGAAATTTCAGATTTATATTTATATTTATATTATCATATATATGACATAAAAGTTATTTATTTATTTATTTTTAGGATTATTTACATAGACTCTTAAACTATTGAGAAGTATCATTTTAACTCCCTAAATTTTAAAAGCATACAAATGGATCTCTTAAACTATTGAGAAGTATCATTTTGTCATCCTAAACTCTAAAAACATATAAATGAACCTCTTAAACTATTGGTGTTTCACTTTGACTACTTCTGTTAACGGTCCAATTTGTATGTTTTTATAGTTTAGAGTGCAAAGTGATTCTTTTTAATAGTTTAGGAGATTTATTGTACGCTTTATAGTTTAATAGCTTAAGGTGTCTTAGTGTAAATAATCCTTATTTTTATGCACAATTATAATTAAAAACAAATTGACCCTAAACCCATCAATTCATATTGAGGTCAACTGGCCAGATTGGACTAAAATCATTTCAATTAGAAGTATCAAATTCTGTCTAGCAAAGGAACACAAATAATCAAATAAGACAGAATCACTTAGGCCATGTTTGTTTGAGCGGACTGGATTAATATTCTCATGACTAATAATCTTGGAATTACGAATCTGTTGGATTATGTATCCTATCTTAACTAAAAGTCAAGTTTAAAATAATTAGTCCGTACTTCAATTGTTTAACCAAACATCGGATTAATAATTTTATTGGACTATTAGTCCAATCCCAAGCTCATGTCCACCCAAACAAACATGACCTTAGTTTACTAATGAATTAAGATTCTACTACAATTATAATTTATTTACTAAAAAAAAAAAAAAAATTCACATAATCAAAAACAAATTCCATATTTGGAAGAAACGAGGGTCTCCGCTCCATTTAAAAAAAAGAAAGAAATGATGGCCATTTTTTTTTTCCTTTTGGGCAGAATGAACCAAGAAGTGACTTACAAAGTTTTAGCACGTGTATCATTTTAAATGTTATGGTAACGTCCATTTTTATTTATTTTTTAACTTATTTTTTTTCAATTAACATGAGCAAGACATTCTCCCCATTTAAATAGTATGAAAACCAGAGTTTGATTCAAGGGCTTCGCCAAACTTTTTTTTGAACTTCCCGTTTGCAAGAGTGGGATATTTGCCTCCACTAATTTGATCTCAAAATGGGCATAACAACCTTTTATAGGTCTAATTTGCATATAATTTTGTTGGAGTAAGTATGGCTTCTTTAGAGTTATATTTTTTTCTTTCTTTTTTCTCAAGCAGTACCCCGACCCCAGTATTTCTAAGGGAATAAAATATCCTCACAAAAAAAAATAATATTTATACATATATAAACTACTTTGATGGGTTTTTTTTGCTTTGAAGTGACAAGCTACCTTGATTTTATGTACAATTTTTCAGTTTACATACCACAACTCATTTCCAAAGAGGAAAACAACACATAATTTTCTACACTAACACTAATTGTAAGACAATTATTATAGAACATTAGAGAAATTGACTAAAAACAACACAAAAGATGGAAGAGAGGGAAGAAAAAAGAAAAATGTCCCTTGTAAGTTGTACCTATCCTAACCCATCACAAAAGGCCTTCGCCCAAATTGGACTCCCCAAAGCCATTTTCTTCCATTTCACCCTTGATTGCAGCCACCTCCTGCATGCAAATCATTTGCCTCAGCTCCATTTCCATTAGAGATTTCTTCGCATCATCTATTTGCTTGGCCAATTTGTCCAACTCCATCAAATGCAGATGATAATCAGAAGCCGAAATGATTTTCTCGACCCTTTGATGCAACCAATTCACATTAAACCCAACAGCCAATGCATCACCCGTGTGCTGCTCTATGAATTGCAGTTCATCTAAACCAAGGGACTTCATGGTGTGGTTGCATAGTCGTTGCACAGTATCAGCCACCAATTCCAAGAACCCTGATTTGGCAGCTACACTCTTTATCTTGCTTCCCTTCGTTATGTCACCATACTTCTCAAAAATTTGTTGGACAATCATCCCATTCTGGGAAGAAATACAGAACCCATTCACATAAATAAATGGAGCCGAGACACAGAAAGTTTGGCTTCCAGTCCCATGAGCACTTCCTTCATCCCCTGCAATAACTGTGGAGGCAACACCAGATTTTCCCTCACCCTCAACACAAATGGGTGCATCATCTTGGGCTAGTTGAACCTCTTTGCCACCATTAAGCTCTGCCATTGAGGCATTTGGTGTATCTACAATAGCCTCAGCAGGTTGCAACTTAGATATGGAATCAGCAGAAATGGAAACTACTGATGGATTGGTTTCATTTTCATGGCTTTCCTGCACACTAGAACCTTCCATTTTCATAACTTTCTGACTCTCCTCCTCTTGATCGGTCCTTAAACCTGGAACCACTGCCTCCTGCTCAGCCATTGCAACTGTTACTTGTTTTGCTAAACCGCCCCTTCCTTGCCCAAACTCAATGTAAACCTCTTCCACTCCATCATCCTCTTCCTCTCTGTCACCCAAATCTGCTTCCAGAGATGTTGCGGAACAACTTCCATCTATGGGAAAAGGAGGTCCTGAAATGCATAATAAAAGACAAAGCTTGGACTTAATCTAGACTAGACGACTAATAGTAAACAATTTTTTCACCCTTGGAAAAATTCACAGCCATTATACCCTTAGCAAGAGTTCACTGATTCTATTTAACAGGCAAGAACCTAGTATTTGGCATAAGTGGGAACTTTGAAATAGTAAATCAAGACCGAGTTTTACAGTTGTACAGCTACAGATGTCACACTAAATGTATCTATTTAAACCTAGGCAATGAGTAGAAATTCTAACCAACATAGCTTATTTCCACTCCATAGTTCAATGAAAACCCAATTCAAGTATCAAAAATTGAAGGACTAGAGCAGCAATCGTAAAAATTGTTTAGAACAGATATGGGTTATAGATTGCAGTTACTATACTAGAGATAAAATAACCAAGGGATATATAATGAGACCATTGTATACTTCCATAAGAGTATCTCCAATCCTTTCATCAAACCAAAGGAGAGTAATTTCTTCCATCAAATCCTTGAGTGATGAATGTTTAAAAAGATTTTTGATGAAAATTTGATGAGAGGATTATAATAGTTGGTATGAAATCAAGTTTTTTACTCAAATTTGTAATCAAATTAGATGAAAAGTTTATGAACTCACCAAATAGAGGCGCAACAGCAGTAGATTGTGGTTGTCCTGACGAGGCAGGCGCTGATGTTTCTGTGGACAGTGACAAACCAGGATGTGAACTGGCAGGAGTGTTTGTGTAACTGAAGCTTGATGAAGACGAACCCGCATTGGATACAGAACTTGCAAACGAGAATGCAGGTGCTGAAATCGCAGGAAAAGAAGACGACCCAAACAAATTGGGAAAAGAAGGGGAAGATGAAGATGAAGATGAAGATGAAGATACAAACAAGTTTGAAGAAAAAAATGGAGCAGAGCTTGTACCAGTAGAGATCGAATTCGAAGAAGAAGACCCAAAAACTGCGGGGCTAGTAGCTGAAACAGAGCTCAAAGTAGCAGATCCAAACAAGTTGGAAGTAGTAGTCGAAGAAGAAGACGTGAATTTGGGCGATCCGAAGGCGAAAGAAGTCGAAGAGCTACTAGGGTTTGAAGAGAAACTGCCGAAAAACAGGCCAGATGAGGGAGGTGAAATCGAAGGGAAGACTGAATTTGATGATGATGATGATGATGTGGAACAGAATGGAGAGAATTGATGGGTTGAAGATGATGAAGACGAGAATCTGAAGCCTGACATTATTATTGTGATTCTCTCTCTCTCTCTCTCTCTCTCTCTCCCTGTCTCTCTAAAGTTGCTCTTGATTTTCTCTCTCTAGGTTGCTCTGTGTCTGTATCATGTATGCCAGGGGTTTCAAATTGGGGACAGTGGATTTTTAGCAGGGAAAATGGCTTGCAGCTCGAATTCGGGCCACCGAATTCGACTCAAAACCACGTCGTTTTGAATTTTGAATTTTTTTTTTTTTGTCTTTTTTTTTTCTTCCTTTTCTTTCTTTCTTTTCTTCTTCTTCGTTGAACATAGGAGAAGAGCATAGGAGGACAAGAAGAGAGGAGAAGAGAGGAGAAGAGAAAGAGGAAGAAAGAGGGAGAAAGTGAGAGGAGAAGAGGAGATCGTCGCAGCACCATCGCCATCGCCTCGCCGCTGCCGATCGTCGCAGCACCAGCAATCGTTGCAGCACCACCGCCGTCGCCTCCGGCCCTGCCTCCGCCTTCTCCTCCCCCTGTGATTATGCCCCCTCCAGTCCTCCTCCTTCCTCCTCCTCCTCCTTCCTCCTTTTTTTTTTCTTCTTCTTCTTCCTTCTTCTTCTTCTTCTTCTCCGAATTCGAGCCAAATTCGAGCCTTCAAATTTGAGCTACCTATCGGAACCGTTTTAGCAGCGAAGAGCTTGGAATCCGGCATTGTTTGGAATAATTTAAAATGAATATATATATATTTTAAAAATATATATAAAAAAGTAAAGAAGTAATAATCAGTGTGTTTGATTTGATTTTTTTGAATTAAGTTTTTAAAAATTCAATTTTCTGATTTTTGTATTTTTTTTTATTTTTAGTGATGAATTTTTAAAATTTTAAACATTTTTTTTTTACTTTTTTAGATGCACCTTACTTAGATATATCTAAAAAGTAAAAAACTTGTGAAAAAATAATTTAAAAATTTAATAAATACATAAAAATATAAAAAATGTATTGAATTATCGTATTTTTTTTTTTTATATTTTTGGTATTTAGTGAATTTTTAAAAGGTTTTTTTACAATTTTTTTATTTTTTAGGTATATTTATGTTAGGTATGTCTAAAAAGTAAAAAAAATTGCTTAAAATATTAAAAATATTCAGTCAAAATAAAAAACACGGAAAACAAAAAAGTTTAATTTTCTAAAAAGTATTTTTGAAAAAATACAACCAAGCAAGCTGAATGTGATTTAAAAAATGAAAACAGATAAAAAGTGAATTTATATAATATATCCTAATTACCCCCTTAAGTTCAGTTTTGAAATAAATTAAGCAACAATGTGGGTGTTTGGGAAGTGACTATTTTATAGGCTTTTGATTTTTTGACTATTTTAGTAGGTTATTTTAATTTTTGTGTTTGGGAAGATATGATAAATTTTTGTTTGAGTTGGTGTATTGAAAAATGTGTTGAAATGATATTTGAAGTAAAATGACAAATTTGTCATTAACCTCACATTTTTCAAAATTAATTTAAAAGGGTAAAATTATAATTTACCTGACAGTGGTAGGCTGTGCTTACACTGTCACAGTGACAGCCCACTGCCGACCTATTTTTTTTATTTTTTATTTTTTTTAAACTTTTAGTTTAGTAACTTTTAGCCTCCGTTTGAGAAGTGGGTTGGCTTTTTGGCTTTTTGGCTATTTTAGCCTGGTTTGGGAAGGGCTTTTTGGCTTTTTGACTTTTTTGGCTTTTTTTGTGAGAGAGGATTGTAATGATTATGGGTTGGATTTGATGTTTTATTTTTTGTGGCTAAAATAGCCTATTTTGTTTTTTGTGGCTATTTTAGCCAAAAAAGCCTGGCTTTTTGCTTGCCAAACGAAGGCTTAGGCTAAAATTGTTTTTGAGACTATTTTAACCTTAAAGCTAGGTTCCCAAACACTCCCAATGTTATGGATTCACATTTTACACTCACAACTCACAGATGTATCCATAATGATGTGATAAAGATGATCAATCTATTATTGATATGTAATCAATTAAAAATTGATACTTTAACAAATTAAATAATTGTGAGTTGAATTGTAAGAGATTAATGAGATCTCAAACATTTTCTAAATTAAAATCAAAATATTAGTTACCATTTTATAAAATTTGAAATCAGTATTTGGCAAGTGATTTTGGAGCTAAAATAGCCACAAAAGACAAAATAGGCTATTTTAGTCACAACAAACAAAACATCACATTTAACCTATAAACATTACACTCTTCTCTCACAAAAAAAAATCAAAAAAAGCCAAAAAGCCCTTCCCAAATCAAGCTTTTTAGCCTAGACTAAAATAGCCAAAAAATTCAAAAAATTAAAAAACTAAAAAGTCAACCCACTTCCCAAATAGAGGCTGAATCACACAATTTTAAAATTCAACAAAATCAAATCTCGAAAAACATGGTTCTATGCGTAAATATAAACAGTCTAATTTTGCTTTAAATCATAACCACAAGTATAAAATGTAAATTGAATTATAATTAACTTATTTTAAAAAGCAAGACCAAACCATAAAAGTGACAATAAAATCGACTTTTTCTTTTTCCTCACTCTCCTAGCCTACCCCTAATCCACTTATTTTCACTCAAAAGATTCAATCAAAAATATTATACATTTCTCATCTACTCATCATATAAAATTATATGAAAATAAAAAAATTTAACCAACAGTTTAATTAATTAATCAATTTTATCACTTAATCAGTCCAACTTAATTGACTGATCAGTTAGACTGTTGGTTAAAATTCGTTAATTCCTTATAATTTTGTACGATGAGTTAGTATAGGATGTCTAGTTTTTTGGCACACCCCTACACATAACCACCTTTTAAAAAAAAATTAAAAAAAAAACCAACACAGCCTAACAAATAAAATAAAATAAAATTAAAAAAAATTAATCAGTCAATTTTATTACCCAATCAGTCCAACCCAACTTACTTACAAAATGTCTAATTTTTTAGTACACCCTTATACATAATCACCCCTATAAAGAACAAAGAGAAAAAAAAAAAAAAAAAACCAAACTAAAACAGCTTTGGAAAAAAAGAAAAGAAAAAAAAAAAATGATTTCGAGGCAAATTGAGCCTCAAATTCGAGAACTCAATCATTTTTGCTCATACATATGCCAAATATGTTGTATTATTCAAATTTGTATAAATAATGGACAATATAACTGGCCTTTGAAAGTAATTTTTTTTAACATAGTGACAAAAAATAATAAAAAATAATAATAAATACAAAATTGGTTGGTTCTAAATTGAGGCATCGTTTGAAAAGTTTTTTAGGGTTCGTTTGGCAAGAAGAGTTTGGGATTTTTTTAGTTATTTTAGCCACAAAAGACAAAATAGATTATTTTAGCCACAAAAAATAAAACATCACATCCAACCCATAATCATTACACTCTTCTCTCACAAAAAAAGTCAGAAAAGCTAAAGAGCCAAAAAGCCCTTCCCAAACCAAGCTTTTTAGCCCAAGTTAAAATAGTCAAAAAAGCTAAAAAACTTAAAAAGTCAACCCACTTCCCAAACGGAGGCTTAATATGTTATTTTAGTTTTTACTTGAAAAGATATTTGGACAATGTAATTGCCTTTATGACCCTTGCTGCTGTGACCCCAATTCCAAAACAAGACAACTACAGTATAACTGTCAGCACAATCAGCCTTGTAAAGTTGAAACCATGTTCGCCTCCGGACCTAAGTCTCGAGCCTCTAGTTCCGTTTGACAAGAGTTTTTTATTTTTTATTTTTTATTTTTTATTTTTTATTTTTTATTATTATTATTTTAATCACAAAAGATAAAATAAATTATTTTAATCACGATAAACAAAACATCACATCCAACTCATAATCATTACACTCTTCTCTCACAAAAAAAATTAAAAAAAATCAAAAAGTCAAAAAATCCTTCCCAAATTAAACTTTTTAATCCAGACTAAAATAATCAAAAAAATCAAAAAATCAAAAAATCAACATATTTCCAAAACGGAGGCTCTAAATCAAATTGTTAGCCTTTGAACCCAGGCCTCCAGCCTCAAATTACAATAAGAGTAAAGCTTCGTAGCTCGAGAAAAGAAGGGCTCGAATGGCCCGACCCCCCTTTCTTTCTCTATTCTCCTCCTCTGCCTCTGTTTTGGTCTTCTTCTTCTTTTTCCTTCTCAACTGCAACGGTGGGCTCTCTCTCTCTACGATGGTGGGCTCTCTCTCTCTCTCCTCTTTTCTCTATTTCTTTCGCCTCTCTGTTACCAGTTTCAGAGAGGGAAATTTTTTTTTATCCAAATGTTTGGTTTGGTTTTAATTTTTTTTAGTTTTGTGGGTTTTGGTTTTGATTTGATTTTGGATTACCCTTCTCTGTATGTGTACACAGATCTGTTCTCCTCTCTCTACTCTCTGTTCTGTACTTTGTTTTTTTTTTTTTATACGAATCTGTTCTTCCTCCTTTCTTTTCTTTTAAATCTGTTGGCCGACCGGAAGAGGAAGGAAAAAGAGAGGGGAAAGGAAGAAAAGGAAGAAGAGAGGGGAAAGGAAGAAAAGGAAGAAGAGAGGGGAAAGGAAAAAGAATTTTTTTTTTTGATTTTGATTTGAGTTTGGATTCAGACCAAAGGTTTGAGTTTGGATTCAGAACAGAGGAAGAAGAGGAAGGAAGAGAGGGGAAGAAGAAGAAGAAGAAGAAGAAGAAAAAAAAAAGGTGCCAAAACAACGTCGTTCTGACACCTCGGGCCATTCGGGCCTTGGTAAATTCGAGCTACGAATCACTGTTGTTACAATAATTAGTGGCGACTCTACAAATTTTTGTGCGTTGTGTCATTCAATTTTTTTTGATATTATCTTTATTTTTGAGATTTTATTTTTTTCATGTTTCCAAAGACAAAAACAATGAAAAATTTAAAAATCTTCATCATCTAATATCTTTTGATTTTTGATTTTTTTTAATGTAAAACAATGTTTGAAAATTAAAATAAAATTCTTAAAAGGATTATTATTTTCATTTTTTTTTCAAAAATAGTCTATCAAGCAAGATTTTCATATTAGTTTATGTTTTTTTTTTATTTATAAAAATATAAAAACTTCTCAAATTATAAATAAAAACAACAAATATTATTTTCCGTTTGAGAAGTTGGTTTGTAGGTTATTTGGGTTAAAATAGTCACAAAAAACAAAATAAGTTTTTTAGTCCAATAAGATAAAACATCACATCTAATCCATAATCATTCTATTATTTCTTTCACAAA